GGCAAGCCCCTTACAGAGCCCGCAGCTAAACCCTAATGCAGACATATTCAGTCTCGTTAGAAGTCACATCCCAGATATAAATGTCAGCAATAGGGGTGATCTAGTAAAAAGGAAGCCACAGGAATTCGATGGGAAGGCACTGTGGGAAGCATATAGAGCACAATTTGAGCTTCTGGCAGAGATGAATGGACTGAAAGAGGAGCAGAAAGCAGTATATCTGGCAACGAGCTGGAAATACTTGGACAGTTGTCGGCAGATGACAGGCACAACTATAGAGCACTGGTAGCGGCTCTAGAACTCAGGTATGGAACTCAAAATCAGTCCAAAGTCTACAGGGCTAGGTTTAGGATGAGAGTCCATGCTAAAGGGGAGAGCCTGCAAGAGCTGGCACAGTACTTGTAATGTATGGCACACAAGGCCTACCTAACTGTACCTTCCGATGTCCTCAAGCTGTTGCTGAATGATCAGTGTGTAGATGCCTTGGACAGTCGACAACTGAAGGTACAAGTAAAGCAAGCACACCCCTCTACTATACAAGATGCAATGGCTGGAGCTCTTGAATTCGAATCCTATGTGAAGTCCAGCACAGAGGTACCAAGGTTGGTACAGTTATCAGGATTCAAGGCCAAAAAGGGTCAGCTTTCAAAGAGGTTTGAGGGACTTTGCTGGCACTGTAACACACCTGGGCACAAGAAAGCTCAAAGCGGGAAACTTCAACACAGGGAAAATGCCACAGCAGGAAAGGCTGCTACCCAGAAAGGTTGTTGGAACTGTGGAGAGCAAGGACGTATGAGGAGCCAGTGTAAGAAGAATATTACCAATAACTCAGCCTCAAGGAAACCCAATCGTGAAAGTCCCAACAGCTAGTTGTAAAATGCCAAGCACACACAGCGTCTACATGACAGGGATGCTGGATGGCCAAAGGAGCAGCTTTGTCATAGATTCTGCATCTAAGCGAACCCTTGTGAGCATCGAGGTGCTAGATCACGAAGGAGTACCAGAAGCCATACAGAAGCTTTGTGGTGTGACAGGACACTATGCAAGGTTGTG